GACAGACAGATAGACAGGCAGATAGACAGACAGATGATAGACAGACAGACATACAGAGACGGCAGATAAATAGATAGATAGATGATAGACAGACAGACAGATAGACGGCAGATAGATAGACAGATGAGATAGATAGATAGATGATAGACAGACAGACAGATAGACGGCAGATAGATAGACAGATGAGATAGATAGGTAGATAGATAGACAGATGAGGTAGATGATAGATTATAGATAGATGATAGAGAGACAGACAGACATACGGCAGATAGACAAACAGACAGACAGATAGATGATAGACAGACATACATACAGAGATGGCAGATAGATAGATGAGATAGGTAGATGATAGACAGACGGCAGATAGACAGATGAGATAGATAGATAGATGATAGACAGACAGACAGACCCAGCAGATAGACAGACAGATAGATAGACAGAGAGAGACGGCAGATATAGACAGATGAGATAGATGATAGATAGATAGATAGATGATAGAGACAGACAGACAGACGGCAGATTGACAGACAGACGATAGACAGACAGACATACAGAGAGGGCAGATAGATGAGATAGAGATGGTAGACAGACAGACAGATGGCAGACATAGACAGATGAGATAGATAGATAGACAGACAGACAGACCCGGCAGATAGACAGATAGATAGGTAGATAGATAGACAGATGAGGTAGATGATAGATTATAGATAGATGATAGAGACAGACAGACATATGGCAGATAGACAAACAGACAGATAGATGATAGACAGACAGACATACAGAAATGGCAGATAGATAGATGAGATAGGTAGATGATAGACAGATAGACAGATGGCAGATAGACAGATGAGATAGATAGATGATAGAGAGACAGACAGACCCAGCAGACAGACAGACAGACGGCAGATAGACAGACAGACAGACAGACAGACAGACAGACAGAAAGACGGCAGATAGATAGATGAGATAGATGATAGACAGACAGACAGACGGCAGATAGAGATATATAGATGACAGACAGACAGAGACGACAGATAGATAAGACAAATGAGATAGATGAGAGAGAAAAGGACAGAAACGGCAGATAGATGAGATAGATAGATACGGATAGAGAGAGAGATGAAAGACAGAAATAGAAGGATGGATGGATGACAGACAGAGGTGGTTAAAGTGCTGGCCTCGAAACCAGGTGTTTGGGAATTCTAGTCCCACGTTAAGCCACTCAGTGTACCTCACGGAGTCCTTGCGGGGGAAATCCCGTAAGATTTTGTGGGAGGAAGGCGGCCTATCTGGTATGTTTGCCTTGACTTACTATAAGCAATCATAAAAGAGGGATCAAAACCCAATCGAATTAAAAAAAAAAAAACACCACCTCAACCTAGGCGCCGTCCTGACGAAATAGGGAGAGCCGCAGCCCTTTGAACAGAGTTTGTTTCCTGGGTGACAGATGCTCCCAGACTCCTGACGGAGGTGAGGGGAGATGGATTTCACAGCGAGGATTCCAGAAGCCAAGGATATTTGACCGGAGATCAAACCATCACCGGCTTTTTCGAAAATGCCAACAGGATTTATTTTAGAAAACCCGAAGGCAGACGGCAGACTTTAAAAGGCCGCTGTTTACAAAAGCTTACCCTAATCTCGGAATCCCGAAAGAAAATGGGAAGTTCTTTATCCCGAGCAGAATTCTTCGGACAGCCAGAATTATTATTATCGTTATTATTATTTTTTGCACCCATTACCTGGGGATAAGCCGCTTTCTGCTGCTCCAGATATCCGACCAGCTCTTCCTGCTGAGCTCTGGCCTCCTTCAGATGCTGCTTCTCGGTGGCCAGGCTCTCCGCCAAGGCGCCGAGCATTATCGTCTGGGCCGCGACTCCAACGTTATCTGCCGGGAGTAAATTCGGAGGACGAGAGCGACGGAATCAACAGAGCGGGAGACGGAAGGTATTTTAAAAAAAAACAGATTGAAAAAACAGCTGAATAGAGTTGGAATGGACCTTTGCCTCGGACTCTTGATTTAATTTTGGGTGCTATTTGGAACCCCGACATTAATCCGAATCGGAAAAAGCTTCCCGGTTTCCCCCCACCTCCCACCCAGTTGAAAGTTCAAGATCTTGCCCCCACACCCACCAGTCCATCCCATGATCCAATCTCCCAGTGTCATGCTGGCAACTTCCACCCATCCAGTTCCGGTCAGGTGCAGAGGTGCAAAGACAAAGGATGACCTTGGTTTTCTAGAAATAATTTTGTTTTGACTACATAGCATCTAACTCCGCACAATCCCCCCCTCCCATTTTCCCACAACGGAAAAGACATAATAGAATAATAGAAAGTGTGGCAGGTCGAAGACCCAAGAGGAATATAGCTGCAGGCCTGACACTTTGTAGGTTCAGGGGTGTCGAAGTCAAGGCCCATGGGCTGGATCCGGCCCGCGATGTGGTCGGATCTGGTCCCCGCAAGCCGTCCTGGAAAATGGAAGGGGCCCAGTCTGCGTCGCCTCAGCCTGTTCTACCCAATGCGAAGAGGAACCATCGGGCCAACAGTTTGGGGAAGGGTGTCAAGCTGGCCACCCCCACCCATTGGCCACGCCTACCCAGTCTGCCCCGGGCCATCCAAGGTCCCCCACAGCCCTGATGCAGCTCTCAATGAATTGGAGTTGGACACCCCTGTTATAGGTCATCTGACCCAGCTCCCTCTGCCCAAGCAGGAGACCCTACACTGTTTCTGACAGACGGCAGTCCAGTCTCTTCTTGAAAGCCTCCATGGATGAAGCTCCCACAACTTCCGAAGGCAACTTCTGTTCCTTTGGTTGATTCTTCTACACTGTCAGAAAATGTCTCCTTATTTCCTGGTTGAATCTCTCCTTGGTCAGTTTCCCTCCATTCTTCCTTGTCTGGCCTTCATGTGCTTTGAGGAATAGCTTGACCTCCTCCTCTCTGGGGCAGCCCCTCAAATATCGGAAGATGCTCTCCTGTCTCCCTTGGTCCTTCTCTTCACTAGACTAGCCAGGCCCAGTTCCTGCCACCATTCATGAGCCGAGGTGGCGCAGTGGTTAGGGTGCAGTACTGCAGGCCACTTCAGCTGACTGTTATCTGCAGTT